GTGAAAAATTCCCCCAGAGGCAAGTTCAGTCAAGTCTCGTAATACTAAAGAAGTTGGCCCACGAAGCAATGATTCAAAATACTCCACCTCATCAATCTTTCACTCCCAACGAGATCGATTGCTAACCAAGTCTCATTAAGTCTACAATTACGACCCAATACATCCTCATTCCAATGATCACGCCTCTCGTCGACTTTCTCTGGCTTCAGCTGGCCGCCAAATACATGCCCACGCCAATATTTATACCTGACGGAGGACACAAAGCGCGGCGCACAAATATGGGAGACAGTCCTTTAGGATGGACGTGTGAGGGATCAGAACAAGTCCACAAGATAATGCAGAGGATGGATACAATCTCGAAGGGCGTGAAATTTCGAATTTTGGCAAGAGTTTTACGAATTGAGCCTTGTGTGCGCGAAGACTTCGGTTGTGAGAGTGCAGGCGATACCATAAATGCCACCATGGTTGGATGGTTGGGTGGTACATTGTCTTGGCCAGTCTGCCAAGTAGAGTCTGGATAGCTTGGACATATATCCCATATGAGACAGGAGATCGTTAGTTCGAGTCCGGCAAAATACAACCACGTTTCTCGCGGCGCTAGTATACATGGATGACAAAAGCATGCTTGGATAATCAAAGGTTTTGAATTTTTCTTTGGTGGGTACTTACGGAGGAGAGTCGACTGTTTGTGTAAGCGGACATACCTTAAAGTAGTATTTGCAAATGAAATCCAGACTATAAATGTCTCTAGCGTCAAAAGAGTCATCCAATATGTATACATAACACCAGTCACGTCTCATATGTCATAGCTAGATTGCTGAATATAGATGAAATTATAATTCAAAAAAAAGAGGAGCGCTTTGCCCTTCATTATCTCTCCTTTCCAGCCAACAAAACGATGGCCATTTGCGGGTGTAAGGCAGCCGGGAAAAATCGCAAAAACCACTGGGTGCGGGGCTCTTCTAATAGCAACATCAGGACTAGATCCGAAGACATAGTGGCCCTTCTGAAGTGTCCAAAGAGGCCGGCCAGCTGGGCGTTGCAGACTTGTGTGTACCTCGCGATATTCACTCTCTGCCTTTCCAGCCTCTTCCTAACTCCTTCCCGAAGGTTGTGCTGAAATTTCAGAAAAGTCTTGACAGTGGGTTATTGCTGTGGTAGCTTAGCCTAACTTTTGTGCCGTCCAGGACGCTGAGCAGTGCCGTTGACTCATCGACAATAGAAGTCCTGACAAACTAGCCAAAGCCGAAGTCTTGGCGCCCACAAACGTTCCAAAGTCGAAAACATCTGACAGATTATTCCCACAAGAGGTTTCTGCTTTACATCTTTCCACACCCCAGTCGCCTGTTCTCCCTCAAGTTGTTTGTCCCATTAGTGCAACAGTCCCCCATAAGCCAGAACCCAGGCTTTGTATTTTTCGACTTGATTTTCTCCTTGCGGGTATATATAGCGTCGTCAATATATAGTGAGAGATTGCTGGGAATTAAATTGGCGGGCTCCTGTTTGCAATTGGAGCAACTTCTCTATTGGTCGTTGAGGTGAGATTATGTGTGTTTAGAAAGAGGTTGAGGATTTAGAGGAGAATAGTAAGTGCTAGATGATTGAGAAGTCGTCAAATGGAGATATGCTTGAGTTTGCTTTCGACTTCGATTCGGATGCGATTCTTCTTGGCTATCCCAGATATGCAGAGCATACTGAGCGATTACACCAGCACCACTAGATGGCGAACAATTAGTCCTTGCCGGCTGTAAGGAGTCATCCTACATGTATGCGTAGCACTGTTTATGCCACATAGCTAAAATGCTGAATATAGCTAAGTAATTAATAAAAAGGGTTCACATGACATTCTTGTATTTTATCCTAAAATGGACTAGCAGACGTTGGTTTCCCAAAAATGGAACAGAGATCGCCATTGCATCATTCAAATAATTCTAAGAAATGTCAGGGGTCGTCCATAGAAACGTACCGCTCTGTGTGAGGTGATCATTTTTATCAGTAGGAGAATGATAAGCTTCCTATCCCAGATGCTGGACACCCCGGCTTTTAAAACATGCAGGGCCTGTGTAACCTAGGGTATGCTAACCCATTTTGGAAGACCGTCACGCGCCTTTCCTAGATAGCGCCAACATCAGGGTATTTTAGCTGCCTATTTGTGCAGATCTTCCGGGCCAAGTTAGATAGACGACAAGGTGGATGGGCCTCGAGAAAGAGTGCTAAGCTGATGCCTCTTGAACAAGCGTCTAGGAAAGAGAACGCAGTATCTGGTAGGATATTAGACAGCGCATATCCTGCTTACGATGCTCTTTACAGAGAAAGCTCAATGTATAACGTGTGGCTTCATAAGTAAATCCTTATCCAGGTCTGCAAGAATTATTAGGAAGATTAAAATACGTCCGAGGGTGATGATGTCGAGCTCTCAGCCTGACTCGTAATCTGTATTTGCCCGCCAGTAATGAAGTGCAGGTAACGGGGACTAACCAGCTTCCAAATGACACAGTCCATAAAGAAGAAGGGATAATGCTGGTCAGATGCTGTGGAGCCCGACCCTAACTTTCTGGAAGATGAATACGGGTAATCCTCGCCAAGTTACTAAACCTTTAATCCTGCATGCGTTTGGATGAGGAAGGTAAGATTGCCAGGAATTTTTCTGACTCCTCCTCTTTGTACCATGCGATTGCGCATTCTCCGACAGCTAGTTCTTCTCAGTATTTCAAGGAGGTAGAGATAGACTCAATGATGCCTAGGAATTGATCGGTCGGGACAGGGCCCGATGCATGTCATGAAATGACAAATTTTAGTTTCGCACCGGTGAGTGAGATAGAGTAGTCGAAGCCCTATAAACGACGGTTCACTCAGATTAAGCTTCTGTCGTTTCCACATTACGCACAAGGAAAGGCCATGGGGCAACTTGACGCTTGGCGTAGGCTCCCAATTCCCTACCGTCGAGCGCCAACACAGAGGTACTTCGGCCCTTGTCGTTGATGTGGAAGCAGCCGAAGCTACTAATGACACCGATCTGACCGAAAAGAAAAAAAGAAGACCAAACTCTTAGCCACACATGTAATTATTCAATGGAGATATGAGACATTTATCTTTATTCATTTGAGCGACAATACAGTCTCTTTGACTCCGGAATGAAACTTGGATGGTTTTAAAACCCTCCTCCTCACAGAATCCCCCCTGCGAGGCATGGCGTGACGGGATCTCTGCAGTCTATCGTTGAAGAGACGAAGGAATATTCATATTGTCGGTGGAAATAAAGTTGGCCTAGCTGCTTCGTCTATGCTTGTACGCTGGTGCGTGGTTTGGGCGGTTTAAGCTAACTTTTCCGATAACCATAGTTTTTGGATTCAGAGTATCCCGATATATTAGGGGTCTCACTGTGAGATCAAAAGTGGATAATTTACCTGAGCCTATCAGTCTTTCGAGTTCAAATCGAGTGGAATTTTCCAAGGGTACTGTCATACCCAATTAACTTGCCTTGTTAGGGCGAAGTCGAATACTCCTTGACACCAGGGGTATTGGCTGGTCTATAATTCTTGAGTCCCTCTGAGTGTTGAGATATCTCCTGGCTCATTGAGTTCGAAGCTATTTAAGTATCCAGGGCCGTTATTAGAGTACTTGCAATCATTGTATTGTCAGGCTGGACGGGAAGGAGAGAATGCGATAGTTGGCTCATGGCGTTGGGTGCGCTAACCTGCGACGGGTACTGTTGATCCGGAAACGGCGGTCATATTTGTGCTAAATGCTGATTCTCTTCGACGAGTGTTCTTGCACAAACCTCGACACTGAATCACTATACAGATGAACATTCCAGGTATTCGTTGAGACAAGATTTACGCGCCGAGGCCACAAGGGTGGAGAGGGTGCCACCGAGATGAATACCTGGTGTATCGTGACCCGTTTAGAGAGGTTAAGGCTAATAGCAGCTGGTGCCCCCAGCACGCCATGCCTACTACACCATCTTCTACTTGAATGATGGTAGTATATGATGACCAGGTCGACGATCATGGCCCAGTCTCTTCCGCGTAGGGGACAAGGCTCCGCTCCCCCATGTCACTCCTGGCCGGCAGTTCTCTGGGGAATTAAGGAAAAATTAGGGGCATGATCGGGTATGGATCAACAAAACTCCGACGGCGCTTGCGCTGTTATGGCACTCCAAAAATAGCAGTCCTATCTATAATGAGTCAGGTGTGGAGAGACCTTCTAGAGCTGAAGATGCACTGCAGCCACACTCTTCGAGCCGGCCGCCCGCAAATCCGAAGTTCGCCGGCCATCCGGCGCGATGGGCGTGTGCTGATCCTTGGCTCGCCCGCATCTCTCTCCAGCGCGCAACTTGTCGCCGCGAGGCCATTGGCGGATGCGCCGAGGCTGCGAGGCCCCCGATGTAGGATCTGAGAAGATGGAAGCGCGCGATCATGGCGGCTGAATAGAAATTAGGCCAAAATCATGGCCAGCCTCTAGTCACTTCGCCCATAAAATCTAATATCGGTGTAATCTCGGGCGAGAGGAGGGGCACGCAAGACGCCAGACAGCAGCCTAGGCTGTGGATATCTTGAGCGATGAAGGCAGCTCGCTACAACCTTTGTTACCTTGATCAAGGGAATCTTGCCCTCACCTCGGCCTCCAAGACTATCTCGTGTCCAATGCATTCTGCTTGCTCTCATCTGCCCTGCATAACCCTACTCTCGCGGCTTCCGCCCAGGTTGGCTGACACCCTGTTGCTGCAGATTACAATTGCGCGCAAATCCCCGGTTGCTTAAGTAGGCAGGTGACATTGTTTTTCCAGCGGGATTTTTTCCTGAGCGGGGGGCTAGAAACTGAAACTTGGTGTTCCTGTTCCAAGTGGGTTTCTTCAGCTCGGCGGCATTTTCACCAGGTTTCCTATATATCACTTCTCACGCCCACGCTTCACGCTCTGTGATAATTTCTTTTGAAGATACCTCTGCTTTGCGAAACACCTCCCCCCGCCCCGCAGCCCCCAGTATCCTGGAAAGAAAATGCTCGAGATCTTGTCATACTGGTCGCAAGTGACCGCAAGTCTCTGGTATGGTCCCGAGAAACAGACGACGGAGGATGCCGAAGCCAATATTCTCATAAAAAAGCTCCTGCATATTTATGCCCAATTGGCTGCTCGCACAGATCTTCGGCCATGCAGTGAAGTAAATTCCCTCTTCTCCGAGTTAGTGGAGGTCTGTACCCAGACCATTAGTGACAGAGTCACCAATCTGGTAAGTCAGGCCCCGATCTCTCTCTCGCAGCCGACCTGTACTGCACCCCAGTTTCTTAACAATGCCCAGGTATTGGAAAACCCCCGGATAAGGGAGATAAGAGTCGAGTTCCGCAGGCTATGTTCGCAGGCAGAATGTCACCTGGAGTCATACTGGTCCGATCGGATCGCGGGAGATGCCACTAGTACGGAGAAAGGTTGTCGCGTGACCCGGTCATAGGTTCTGGCGGCTGACCCAAGATAGAAGTAAGCGCGCGTTTGTCGGAGTTTCCCTACTTCAGCAACTACGTTGACCTCACGCGCATGGAGTTATCCGCCATGTGCTCGGCGGAGCAAAAACCCGTGAAAAAAATAGCCTTCATTGGATCCGGACCATTGCCTCTAACAAGTTTATGCCTGACCGGCACCCTCTCTGACATTCCGTCGGAGATTAGCGTCCTGAACATTGACAACAATACGCAAGCCATCTCAGAATCTACTTGTCTCTACAAACGTTTAGGTACAAAGGCAAGGGGGATGGAATTTCAGTGTGGCGAGGCACAGTCAGCGCTGGATCTAGGCGAGTTCGATGCAGTATATCTTGCTGCGTTGGTCGGAAGTACGCAGGAGGAAAAAGAAGCGTTGTTAGAACAAGTAACCAGTCGAATGCGGCCGGGCGCTTTGCTGATGATCAGGAGCGCAGACAGGTTGAGGCGTCTGATGTACGCAGTGAGTTAGCCAAGGGCAGAAGAAACTAAGGTTACAAGGATGACACTGACAAATTTGCACAGGATTTTGACCCCACGACAGAACGAGTCTCTAAAGTGTTAGACGTGGTGCTGGCGGTACATCCATATAATCATATCGTGAATTCAATCATAATTGGGAAGATAAAGCAATAGGTGGCCAATCAACCTAGGGTTTATATTAGCGTGTTCGCCGGCTGAACTACAACTAGTTCGCTCATATATGGCGTAATAAACAGAATGTACTAGGCCGTACGGAATTTAGATGTAATTTTTGCATAGTTGTGGATGAAAGTTGCCAACAAGTTCGGGGAAGGGGTTTAGCGCTACGGTTGATTGCGTGTAACTCATGTGTGTTAACTTCCATGTATCTCAGGTGGTCGGCGAAGGACGGAACATGGCGAATCCTTTACGTAAGCTTAGTGGCATTTAACCAGCAATTTTCAACAAGTTTTAAATCCTCAAATCCTTTAGCCCCATATGACTTAGTTTGTTAGCACGAATTCTAGCTCATCACTAAGCCGCTGCACAATCCCTTCTATCCTCAGAAAACCAAGAATCATTCTTTCCCTACAAGTCAGATTTACCCAACGCCGCCATGCCTTTTGCTTCGGCTTTGCCAATCCGATCTCATCTTACTACTCACCATCAACATCAGACAGACCCCTCTCCTCGACAACTAAAGCATCGCTCCTGTCACTCGTCCACAGAACTTCTATGCTTACCAATGACCAACTCTGCCTCGTTACCCACAAATGTACCCTCAATGACAACTCCAGAACGCCCATCAAAGCGACCCGTGCCTACTCCATCTAAGACGATTGCAGTAGTGAACTCTTCCGGTCGTCAGGCAGCTTCGTTTATCCGAGTTGCATCAGCAGTTGGCTATCGGGTGCGCGCTCAACTGCGGAACCTCAATGGAATCATAGCGACTGAAATATCTTGTCTCCCAAACGTGACAGTGCTGGTGGGAGATCTATACATTCAAAAGTCATCCGATACCCCAGAAACTGCTGGCGAGTCCTCTCTAACCGACATAAACTATGAGCTTATCAGAGAATTGTATCGCGGCGCACAACTGGCCTTCATAAACACTACGTTTTGGGGGGACGAAGTTTCTATTGGAAAAGCACTAGCAGATGAAGCGGTGGCAGCGAAAGTTGAACACTACATCTACAGCTCCATGCCCGATCATGCCGCTCACAACCCGTCCTGGCCCTCTCTTCCACTATGGTCCAGCAAGGCAATGATTGAAGACTATATCCTTACGCTACCATACCTCTCTACCAGAGCCACCTTTATATACACAGGCATCTATAATAATAACTTCACATCGCTGCCCTACCCTCTCTTCTGTATGGCCATTCAGCCAGATAATTCATTTGAATGGACAGCACCTTTCCACCCCGACGCCCCCTTACCATGGCTGGATGCTGAGCATGACGTAGGCCCTGCCGTTCTTCAGATCTTTAAAGATGGCGTGTCTCGGTGGGGTTGTGGCGAGCGCATCGCGCTCGCATATGAAGTCTTATCACCACGCGAAGCCTGTCGCGTATTTTCTAGGGGCGTGGGTAGGCCAGTGCGCTACATGCATGATCCTAAAATCGAAGTAAAGGTTCACATCCCTAATGGCTATCGGGAACAACTACTAGCGCTGGAGCAAATGTACGGTCTCGGGACAGCTGACCCTAAATTTCAGCCTTTTTACTTTGGAAGCGAATTCTTGGAGAAAAGTTGTCCCAACCAGGCCATGGAAGTATGGGAAGGATACCGGGGCTTAGAGGAGTATGCCCGAGAGGTCTTTCCCCTGGAAGAGAGTGCAAACGGACTTACGTGGATGAACGATGAACAGGTGGTTCCGCTCAACCAAGCTGAAGAAAAGAATAGAATTGCAATGGAGGAAGGGAAAGATGAAGGGTTTACAGCTGCTAGCGAGAGCATGCCAGCAAGAAGAGAAGAAGGATGGCTCGCATAATATTACTAGACCATAACGATAAAATGGATTAATCTAGGAGTGATACCAAAATACGGCTCTGCAGATGGCTAATATAACCCCAGACCCATCAGAGGAAAAACAGCATCCTTGAGCTCTGAAATGGATCACTACTAAGGCGCTACACTCTCAATGCAACATGGTTCTCTGAATTTGAAAAAAATGGGGTTGAGTTTCTCAAGGGGCGCATTTGGTTATGGTTTAAAAACAGATAATGAAGTGTAAATGAGAATGGGGTATAATCTGGACTATTGGTTGGCGTTGTACAATTTTGGCTCTACAAGAAATGTTTGAGTTGAGAGCAAAGGAGCCGACGGTGGCATGAGTGGGGGACGGAGTGTGGTCGTGGAATTATTGCGTACTGGGAGTAGATTACTTATCAGTGCGTTCATGGAGCTGTAAAGTAACAATGTGACGATCTTGACCACACGAAGATCTGGCACGCTTGGTACCTAGCTCGTGCAGGGCTCAGAGATGAAGCTGCACGCAGGTCATTTATCTAGCCACAACAGTAGTCGTGTCAAGGTCACCATTATGAAGCTCACGAATACCTCATATAGCCTGTAGGCGCAACTTGCACTGTTATACAAAATCTTAGCCTTGCGGGACCTACGGGTGTGCCGCCCTTTGCAAACAGGGGTAGTGCAAATGTGATTAGACTTTCATTATTTTTTCTTCCGATGCAAAGAAATACAAACATACATGCGCATGATATGATACAATCTTATCTGTAATGCTCTCTGGAGGTGGGGTTAACTTGTTACCGAGGGCTCCTAAAGGCCTTACTTGGCCCTTCGCTTCTTGGTAGGCCGTTGATCCTCTAGATCTTCAACTTCAGCTTCGCCAGAATTCTCTATATTTACATTTTGTACGTTATCTTGTCCTTCTTCGGTCTCGACGCGCCGCGCATCTTCGCACAACTCGGGGACCTCGTCGTCGCTGGGATTATCGGAGACGAAGTCTGCGTCGGAAACATCTTCTTCTTCTTGAGCTTGAACTAGGGGGTATGGGATTAGCGGGTATAGCATGTCAAGGGAGGTAGATGAGCCTACGAAAGTATTTGACGGCTCCAGGCCAGAGGTCTTCGGCGAGAGCGACAGCAAGCTCATCTCCGTTGGGAAAGATCTCGAGCTGTTCGAGGGCAGCTCTGTCGGCTTTGACGCCAGAATCATCCCCAGTCTCATCTGGTTCTGTCTTCTTTCCTGTCTGGCGGCATGCCTTGACTGACTCCATGACCTCGGCTGTCTCGGTATCACTGATGCGTGGGCCCTGATAACCGAACCAAGCAAAAAAGGAGAGGCCTCCGATACCTCGATCATCTATTGCGGCCTGTAGCGCTGTCTGCTCCGGTGTGCGACCAGTAGGTGGCGGCGCCGAGCCCGGAGCCACAGAGAAGCCGGCAGCACATGCAAGATCGAGAAAACCACGAGTTAGGTCTTTTTCTGGATCCTTCCAATGGATGGCGATAGCATCACTGACAAGCCCCGTCCACGAGGCATCACGGCGCGTGCGCCACCAAAATGTCTTCTCAAGCACCTGGTCGGAGAAATATTCGTTGGAGTCAAACTCGAAGCGGAAGCGCACACTGCGCGGATCGATTTCTGGCTCGAAGTGATGCACTGAGAAGTTGCGCAGTGCGCTGAGCAGTAGGCGACTATCGACAGGATTCAGGTGGGTGTCGATCTCGATTGGAGCCTGCTCAAAGACAAGCGGCCAGAAATTGGGGATTTGCCCGACGAGTGCGGCCCGTCGCTCGTAGAGCGGTGCACACAGCGTGACTTGTTGCCGAACTGTGTGGCCCCGTTAGAAGTCTGGCGCGCCGGTAGCGACGACGATAATGGCTAACTTACTAAGTTCTGTCTCAACCTCAGAAAACTCCTGCTCCATAGCCGCGAGCTGTTCGTATGTCACGTCACACATATCTCCGGTCGTTGCCATTGTTCTAGCCCTGCTGCCGAGTAGTCGGATGTCTGTCTGATGTATGAAGGGCGTGGTGTGACGGCATGCGAGATTTCCATCTCATTCTGACGGCGATACGCGTCGTCTGAAATTGGGTCCGTGGCCGCTGACGCGCCGCCCGACGCGTTGCCTTCGGCTGGCCCACATCACAAAGCCCACAGCGCGAACAGACCTAATCAACCTACCGCAATGAATAGTCATTCAGAGGTTAATCTCCAAATTCTGTGAGCCCCGTACCTTTACCTTTTCAGAGAGAGAGCATGAGGGATCTCTTGGTAAGCAACGCCTAAAAATGCGAGTCACCCTTGATTGCTGGCCAGCGGTACGACACGGGAATATCCATGAAGGATCTTTGTCGCGCTTGCCACGCACACATCTCAGGTTGAACCTCCTCTTGCAATTTCTCAACTTTAATACTTCCATGTAAATTTTATTTCCCCCCCGCGACCTCCGCGTTTCCACAAGCTTAGCATTTCCCTCCTTCGTGTGAGGTTGCGGTGACGCATAGAAGCTTGGTCGAAACGAAGAAGGCTGACCTAGGCTAGAGAACGAGGAAATGAGAAGTGTGTCTGCAGAAGCTCGGACGTCCACATTCATGCTTAGAGATTAGAAGGGACCAGTTTAGATTTAGAGTGGGTCGTGCGTGGAGGAATAGAGTGGTTGAAGTTTCTAGCATCTTATCATCGTAAATCGACGAATTACTACTGCTAAATATGCTGTAACCATGGCACCTGGCGAAAATTCCTCTCTCCCGCAAGAAAAGGATACAGCTGACAGATTAACAGCTATTTTTTTTCACGACGTTCGAAAGCACCGGTGACAGCCATGGCCCCAATCATATCGACTCTCATACTTGTATGTATAAACAGCTTCAGGGAGCATCTGCTGCAATGGAGGTAGATGTATATGTGGGTCTCGGAGCAGAGATATGATTGGAGCCATCAGAAGGGTTCGAGGCTTGTGAAGAAGAGACAGCTTGGAAGCTGCGATTTTTCGCCGGCCGAATATTACAGCGTGTTTAGGTGCGGGATGACCTAGGTCTATTACATCTGTCTACATCTTCTGTGTGGAGTCGGTGCAGCGGTCGAGGGATTTGTGGTTTACAATCATAGGCCTAGTGACGGGTCAGCTAGTCATTACGATGCTGCTATTGGTTGGAACATGGTCCTCTCGTGAATATTCTCACTTTATCTAGTCAAGTTTACGCTGGGTGGCTGTCGTGACACATTGCATTGATCACAATGTCCGAAAATATGACAACATTCTGTTGGCTTCCTAGGTATTTTAGGCGGGCGGGAGCATTGAAAAGGAGGCTGATCATGTCGACATTTGGGGTTCAGATGAATGATGTGGGCTAGCAGAGTTCACAAGGTGTCCGTAGAACCCCACACATTTTTAGTATTATTCCACTTTATTGTCCTGTCTGAGTCTACGACTATATAGAACATGCAGGTCCTCTCTACCTACAGGCCAAGGATACCTATGCCAGTAGTATATCCCCTCCTATGCCTCCCATACAGCTCCCCTCAAACAGTACCTCCCTCACAAGTCCTCATTCGATCATATACTTAGAGGAGCCCTTTGCCCTTCATTATCTCCCCTCTCCAGCCAACAAAACGATGGCCATTTGCGGGTGTAAGGCAGCCGGGAAAAATCGCAAAAACCACTGGGTGCGGGGCTCTTCTAATAGCAACATCAGGACTAGATCCGAAGACATAGTGGCCCTTCTGAAGTGTCCAAAGAGGCCGGCCAGCTGGGCGTTGCAGACTTGTGTGTACCTCGTGATATTCACTCTCTGCCTTTCCAGCCTCCTCCTAACTCCTTCCCGAAGGTTGTGCTGAAATTTCAGAAAAGTCTTGACAGTGGGTTATTGCTGTGGTAGCTTAGCCTAACTTTTGTGCCGTCCAGGACGCTGAGCAGTGCTGTTGACTCATCGACAATAGAAGTCCTGACAAATTAGCCAAAGCCGAAGTCTTGGCGTCCACAAACGTTCCAAAGTCGAAAACATCTGACAGATTATTCCCATAAGAGGTCTCTGCCTTACATCTTTCCACGCCCCAGTCGCCTGTTCTCCCTCAAGTTGTTTGTCCTATCAGAGCAACAGCCTCCAACAAACCAAACCCCCAACTTTGTATGTTATGACTTAATTTCCTTCTTGTGAATAGAGATAGCGTCGAAAATGTGTAGTTGGTAATGGTCGGTAGCGAATGAGGCAAGCTCTGGTATACAGTTGGAGCAACTCATTTATCGGTCGTTGAGGCGAGATGGGGCCCCGCACTGTTATCCCCCTCTAGCGACATGATAAAAGTGGATTTCGCAACGGTCATTCTTAGCTCATCTGATACCCTAATTTCCTACGTCTCCTAAACCCCCTCAATTTAAATGGATCCCTCAACCAATGTCAACGCCTCCGATCATCTGCTTGTCGCCTCCCTCCTTTTGAATTACTTTCTGTTGGAAAATCGGTATGGGTTCGATGAATAAGGCGGCTTTAAGGTTGTGGACGCGACTTATGAAAAGAATAATAATGATATTGTTGGTTTATCTCAAGCATCAGGCTAGATGTGTGGATCCAGAATATTCGGATCATAGTACCCCCGTGTAAGGTTCGGAACGACTATTGCACACACACCACCTGTGTAGAGTAGTAGCTTTTAGAGATACAGAATACATACCATACAGATCACAACAGACCTTTACATACCGTGGTGCCACCATTTCAAGTTTTCAGTGGATTTATATGGGGCGCATATTCGCTACAGGGGCTGCACCCCTGTTAGCGCCAATTTTGACAGGGTACATTATTCTTGTCTTGTATTTCCAGGCCTAAGCCGAGGGCACAAGTTGATTTCATGTCACCCTCAGTATTATGCAAAACCAACCCGCTCTCTAGTTCTTTCCCATTGCTTTGATGAGTGCCGACCGCTAAAAATTACACAGCTCTTCTCACTTTGTGCTTGAGACTAGTGGCACTTGAATCGCCCCAAACACTACGCCGATCTTGAACTCGAGATGCGCCGCAAGAAACCGCCAGAACCAGCGCTATCTAGAGCGGTCTACGCCTGCTTAATTGCTGCTCGAATTGGACGTGGGGACTTTGCGGCATATCATCGCTGCTTCAACCACACTGACGCCAAACTCTACTGCGAGTGCGGGAGGGAAAAATCAATTGGTCACCTTGTCCACTATCGAAAAGCACTGGCAACATGGCGGCTGAAAAGCGGAAAGCGTAGGGCGCCGGCTCTGGAAACAATGCTTGGATCAAGGGGATGGCAGCTGTTCAGGGACTACGTCCAGGAGAGCGGAATATACGCGGAGGCTAGTCGGGGGATGGCAGGGATACCTGTGACTCGGAGGTGATAGATCAAAGGCCTAGGTGGTTTGGCATGGACAGAGAGATTGGATTCGAGGCTCAGGCGCGTGGTGGCTGAGGCGGAACCATGGAAGGGAGATTGTTGAAGTTTTTCTTTTGTAATGCGGGATTTCGCGTGAAAGTTTTTGTTTTGTTTTTGTAAGAATTCACAGCAAAATTATGCGAAGGCCACGTGACTGTATAGAACTGAGCCAGATCGAGAAGGCAATTAACCATCAAAAGAACTCACTATGTTATTCTTCTACACTACTACGAGAGTCTGATTTAGGAGGGCAAGACTGAACACCTGTACGCGGTGTCCTCTACGAACCTGGAAGTGAAATATTCTCCCAGAGCCAAGTTCAGTCAAACTTCGCAATACCGAACAAGTTGGCCCACGAGGCAATGATTCAAATTACTCCACCCTATCAATCTTTCTCTCCCAACGAAATCGATTCCTACCTAAGCCTCATCAAGTTTACAAGTACGACCTAGTACATCCTCATCCCAATGACCACACCTCTTGTCGACTCTCTCTGGCCTTAGCTGGTCGCCAGATACACGCCCACGCCGATATTTACACCCGACGGAGGAAGCAAAGCGTGGCGCACAAATCTGGAAGACAATTCCTTGGGATGGATATGAGAGGGATCAGGACAAGTTAATAAGATGATGCAGAGGATTGGATACAGTCTCGACGGGCGTGGAATTTTGAGATTTGGAAAGGAGTTTTTACAAATTGAGCTTTGTGCGTGCCAATTCTTCGGTTGCGAGAGTGCAGGCGACACTACAAACACCGTCATGGTTGGTTGGTGCGGTGGTACATCGTCTTGACCGGTATGCCAAGTAGAGTCTGGATAGCTTGGACACATATCCCACTCGAGACAGTAGATTGCTGGTTCAAATCCGGCAAAACACAACCACATTTCTCACGGCGCTGGTATGCATAGATGACGAAGGCATGCTTGGATAACCAAAGGTTTTGAAATTCCCTTTGGTGGGTACTAACGGAGGAGGGTCGACTGTTTATGTAAGCGAACATACCTCATAGTGGTATTTGCAAATGAAATCCAGAGTATGAGTGTCTCTAACGTCAAAAGAGTCATCCCACATGTATACATAGCGCCGGTCATGTGTCATAGCTAGATAGCTGAATACACATTAAATGATTTAAAAAAAAAAAAAAAGAGAGTCTGATTTAATACCTCTCTCTGTGATCCCTTGTCACCCCCAACTAGTGCATGAGGCTATTCTAGTACCTTCTTCAATGCCCCCCACATGCGCAATCAGTAAGTTCAATATCCCTGTTATAGATCTGCATCTTGCCTATGAAATGCATCCCCGTATAATAAACTTACGTCTGCTTACACGCCCTCTCATTGGGCCATCGACAAAAAAGGCAGCACCACCCGCCCCAAAGCAAAGAGTGCCAACTCGAGGACAAAAGCCGATTCACGACTTTTTCTGCGCCTTGACTACTTCCACCCCCACCGTCTCCTCTCCCCAGCTGGAGTAAGGCTAGCGGTGTCTCAGGCGCTGGGAACCGCTGCCAACAATATCACGTTGGTTCAGCGGGTAAAGACTGGCTTTGCAATAACCGCAAAGGATGAACTCGCTCGAACATAGC